TTTTTTTCGACTTGAGTTATATTTATAAAAAAAAAATATTATAATAAAAAAATTAATTTTAAATTTATATTAAAAAAAATTCTATAACAATAAAAAAAATAAAATAAAAAGAACAACCCAAAATGATGGGCGAAACAGAAGTTGGACAATCCAACAAAGCCAATAGCCTCAACCCTCTTATTAAGCTCACATAGTCTCGGACCCACTTGATCAAAGCTCGACCCTCCAACACAAAACCAACAGAAACTACTCTACTATGAAAGCGCCCACAGATTTACTCTCCTCTGGTTTCATCTCACATAATACAAAACCCCGTCTCTCTCTCTCTCTTCTCTCTCTCTCTCTCTGTATATATATGTGCACATATAGGGTTCTGTATAGAGTTGTAGTCTGGATTTCTGATCAGGGAAAAAATGGCGCCCACAGCAGCGATGCTGATACTGAGTCACAGTAGCAAGGCTAGTTCTGGTTCTACACCGTCTCTTCCTTGTGCAACTGCTTCTTCTGGTGCAAAAGTGTCAATACTGAAATGGGTTTCAGAGCACAATCCCATCGCTTTCAATCCAAGAAAACCAGATCACAACCGAGAAAGTTGCGTGGAGGTTGATCATGATGCTCTTGAAAAGAGGTTTCAAGAAGCCCTTGAACTCAGCTGCTGGTAGCTTTTGCTTTTGCCGTCCTGGTTCAAGTAAAGTGTTTATGCATATAAAAGGTTTGTTTGCTTGTTTGTTTGTTTTTTTTTTTTTTTTTTTTTTTTGGCTTAATGGTAATGTTACTAAAATTTGTACATATAAGAACTGTTTACAAATGTTTTTTTTTTTGTTTAATCAATAAGGAAAAAAAAGGTGGTGTTGCTCTGTTTCATGTAGATTCTGACTAATAGAGTTTTAGAAAGATGCTTGCTGTTGTTATCAAAATGCTTACTTTCGCCTTCGAAGCTTCTCTTTTTGGGTTGACTACTTGCATTATACTTTTGTAATTTGGAAAGAAAAAGAATCAATAGGACGCTTTTTTTTTTTTTTTTTTTTTTGGGTAAAACACAAGATTTGGTGTCGTCCCATCCCGTACGAAAATTGAGGAGCCGTATAATTCTGAAAACATAATTGTTTGTTTTGTTCGTTGAAGGTGTCCTTTGTGTTGTTGAGTTAAAATGTGATATTTTTTAAAAAATTTAATTATAATAAAATAAAATAAAAATTAGATGTTATGTTTTTTAAAAATTTAAAATTTAAAATTTAAATCGATAAAATAAATAAAATTTAAAATTTTATCTCAAATTAAAAATGAATTTGTGTGATATTAAATTTAAATTTTTAAAAGAAAAAATATCGCAGAAGAACGAAAAGGCCTTGAACACAATTCTATTGTTTTTATGGGTTCAGTTTCACTCCCAAATCCAATGTCTCAAGTCTCAACGTATTAATCAGAGACTGGATCTTAAAGTGAGACTACAGACTATAGAAAATCAAAACTAATAAAATTCACTATTACATGGAATCCGAGACTGTAATAATAACGGAAGGCAGTGCAAATCTGAGCAGTCACATTTTGGGTTAATATGCCAGACGTTTAAAGCAGATTTCCTTTACAGCCTATAAGACTCCAACATCAATCATGTTATAGATGTATCTCTCCCTCCCCAGAGGATCAAATCATAGGCAATTACTAGTAAAAAACGCGCAGAGTGTGCGTGACTTATTTAAAATAAGAGTTATACAAATTGTTGAAAAAAAAGAAGAAAAAACATACAAGAAATAAAGACAAAAGTGGAAAAAAAAAATCTCAAGCAAAAGACAAAAAAAAAAAAAAACTCAAGAAAAAAGATTATGTGAAAATATTCACAAGAAACTAAAATTTATAAGGATCTATATGCAAAAGATGTTCATTTAAGAATAAATTAATTTAATAAAGTACTTAAAAAAATAATATTTTAAATAACCATATATATTTAAATGAGATAAGTTTGAAAATATATAAAAATTAAAGATTAAAAGATGCAATAAAAAAAAAGATGAGGAAAAAGGAAAAAAGAGAGAACGAAAAAAAAAAAAAAAAAACTAAAACTTGTGCTTCATGCGGACCTAAATTATACTTTTGTCCCGTATCAAATTTTTACTGCACATTTGGTCTCCTTTCCATGTACAAATCAGTGTAAAGAATTTTTAGGAGGCAGAAACAGATGACTGTTAAGGGGTGGATGTGGTTGAAGAAAGTTTTGGCCTTCAAATATGTACGTAAAGCAGAGGGAATCTGTGATCCTGCAAGGGAAAAGGGAGATTTTGGCAACCTACCAAGAAAGAAAAAAACCAATCACCAAAAAAGTATGAGTATAGACTGTTCTGCGTCAATAATGCCCACAGGTTTTGAGCCAAAAAAGGATAGCCTTAGTACAGCAACTACTACTAATAATTAATTATCTAATTAAATAAAAAGCCCCACAGGTTTAAAAACAGTAAAAAAAAAATCCTCATTGTCATACTCGAACAAACATTTTACAAAGCTCCAAAACAGGTTTTTGATCCAAGTGTTTACGTTAAATCCTGGCAAGTGAAGCTGAACGGTTTACGCACTGTTTGTATGAATGGAAATGGCAATTCTTATTCTTAGGCTGCTTGAAATATCATTTGAGAATGAAGCAAAATGTCTAAAAAACAAACCCGATTGAATCTGCGGTTTGATGCAATAAAGATGTTTGTTTAATAGCTATACCAATCACAAAAGAGGACTTTCTAATATAGCTTGACCTTAAAAACCGAATTCACCCAGCCAATTTAAATAGAGAGAATCATATAGCAAACCAAATTTAAATCTTACACGTGATGATAAACTAAATTCCGCTCAGAATCAACATGTTTCGTCAAAGTAAACAAAAGAAATAGACCGGTAGAGATTATTCTAGCTCAATAAGGGAAAAATGGCATTGAATGTCAGAATTTATATATTAATTATTCCCAGGAATGCTCTCAGAAGCATCTAAATAAATAACTAACACGTACAAGCACCGGGAGTTCCCGCTCTATACAAGTGACAGCTCTCCTGCGGATATTGATCTCTTGACTAGTTTGGCCCAAGATTCATTGGCTTCGGTGATGACCTTAAGAGCATAGTCCTGTTCAGTTTAAAAATTACACTGGAATCAGATACAAAGCATTTGATATGGATACAACCGACCATAATACTTAGAGGCATTACTTTACACCAAGAACTGTCTAATATTGCATGTGATAAAAAAAATAATAACAGAACACACGAATCCATAGGCAGATCGACCACAAGGGCCTCACTTCCTTATCCAGGCAATTGCTGATATTACCACTGTGCTAAATAAATATACCTATCATAGGTTTCAAAAAGAATCAATTGGGATTAAGGCTGAATTAGGGCTTATTATTATTAATCAAATCAACTAAAAGACAAATTCTGACTTACAATTCGAGAGGTAGGTCAATCTCTCCAAAACTCCTAATTATTCCTAATAACTTGACAAAACTCAGCATAAACATAATTAACTTGCTAATGCCCGCTTTATACTAAAGCCCTAAATCCATAAAATACCAAAAGACTAATATGCCCCCCTAATCCTATGCCTAACATAAGTCTGTAGGGGCTTGGGCTTAACATTACTCCCCTCCCAATGAGACACCTTGTCCTCAAGGTGGAACAAAGGAAACTGCTCCTGAATCAAGGCAAACGGTTCTCACGTCACTTCATAGTCTGGCAAATCCTTCCATCTAATCAGCACCTCTTTATCGCCCGATTGTTCTGACAGCCCTTGGCGCACGCCTTCTAAAGCAGCTAGTTCCAACACAACCTCCATATCTTCAGTCAACGTGGGCGGTAGTAAAGGAGAGAATGTATGGTCCAATAGCCCGTCTCAATTGAGACACATGAAACACCGGATGAATCGCCGAAGAGGGTGGCAACCTCAAATGATAAGCCACCTCGCCAATGCTCTCTATAATCTCATAAGGCCCAAAATACCGAGGAGAGAGCTTCTCATTCCTCTGCCGCGCCAAGGTCTTCTGCCGATATGATCGAAGCTTCAAGTATACCCGGTCCCCCACCGCAAACTCTACATCCCTCCTATGACCATCAGCCTGCTTCTTCATAATCTACTGAGCCTTAGACAAATGCCTCTTCAACTCTTCCAACATTCTATCCCTTTCTTACAAGTACTGATCCACTTGCAACACAGGTGTCATGCTGTTAGTTTTACCAATCCATCCCAAAAGCTTAAGCTGTTAAGAGGTGGGACAATAATAATTTTATACTTTAACACTCCCCCTCACGTGTGGGCTGGACAATGGGCAATCGTGTGGGTAAATTAATTGAAAAGTCTAACACGTGAATATTTAGGCCCGAGATATATTAAAGACCCAACACATGATGGTAATTTTAAATGGGGATAAAGAGTGCAATTACAGGGGTTTAAACTCAGGACCTCCCGCTCTGATACCATGTTAGTTTACCAATCCATCCCAAAAGCTTAAGCTATTAGGAGATGGGACAACAATAGTTTTATACTTTAACACATGCTATGCCCATAATGCACCAAATGCGGCGGGTCCCGTCCATATAAGATCTTAAAAGGAGTGGTCTGTGAAGCAGTATGGTAAGAGGTATTGTACCAATACTCAGCCCACTGTCACCACGGTATAAGGGTGTCGCAAGGGTATGAAGTGAGCATACTTACTCAGACGATCAACCACCACCAAAATCACTGTAAACCCATTCGACCGAGGCAACCCCTCAATGAAATCCATCATCACCTCCTCCCAAACCTTATCCGGTAGCGATAAAGGTTGCAGTAACCCTCCTGACACCATTGCCTAGTATTTGTGACGCTGACACATCGCACCTGACTACCATGTCCTCCACATCCTTCTTCATTCTCACCCAATACAACTCAACTACCAAGCGCCGGTAAGTCTTAAGAACCCCGGAGTGACCCCCAACCGCACTCCCATGAAACTCCTACAGTAACCTCGATATATGGGGCGATGTTCTCGGCAAAATGAGACGCCCCTAGTATAACAATCGCTGCCCCTCTAAAGAATAGCCCGGATATCCTGTCTCCCCTCGCGCTAACGCAGTCCAGATCTTCTTCAACCCTTCGTCCACCTCAATATCTCGCAGCAGTGCCTCCCAATCCATCACCAACGGCACCGATAACGCTACCAATTGCGGCTCCTCCACCTGTCTCGACAAGGCATCCGCTGCCTTATTCTCCAACCCTGGGCGGTATTGTATCTCAAAGTCATACCCCAACAGCTTAGACAGCCAACGCTGGTGTTCCTCAGTCACCAACCGTTGCTCCAGCAGAAACTTGAGACTCCACTGATTCGTTCGGATAATGAAGCGTCGCCCCAATAAGTATGGCCTCCACTTCTGTACGACTAACACAATCGCCATGAATTCGTGCTCATAAACTGACTTGAGCCGTGCCTGTGCGGTTAACACCTAGCTGAAATAAGCGATTGGTCGCTGGTTCTACATGAGGACTGCACCTAGCCCGTACCCCGAAGCATTCGTCTCCATAATAAGAGGTTGGCTAAAGTACGGTAAAGCCAACACCGGCACACTAGTCATGGCCCCTTTCAGCTTCTCGAAAGCCTGAGTTGCCACTCCCCCCCACTAGAAGCTAGCCTTCTTCAACTGCTCCGTCAGGGGCCACGCTATGGTGCTATACCCCTTCACAAACTTCCAATAGTACCCAGTGAGCCCCAAAAATCCCCTTAACTCCTTCAACGTCTTAGGTAATGGCCACTCCAGCATCGCCGCCACCTTAGACTGGTTTGTTGAAACCCCCTCAGGTGACACAACATGCCCCAAATACTCCACCCTTGCCTGAGCAAACAAACACTTCTTCCGATTGGCAAACAACTGATGTTTCTGTAACTCAGCCAACACTATCACCAAATGGCTCACATGATTCTCCATAGCACTACTGTAGACTAAGATGTCATCAAAGAAAACCAAGACAAACTTCCGTAGATGATACTTTATTTATCAATGACTGAAAAGTGGCTGGAGCATTCGTGAGGCCAAACGACATGACCAGGAATTCGTAATGTCCCTCATGAGTCCGAAATGCAGTCTTATGCACATCCTCTGGCCGCATCAGAATCTGGTGATATCCCGACTTCAAGACAATCTTTGTGAACACCGTTGCTCCATGCAACTCATCCAACAACTCATCGATCACTGGAATAGAAAACTTATCCAGCATTGTTTCCTTGTTCAGGACTCGATAGTCGATGCAAAATCTCCAACTCCCATCTTTTTCTTCACCAACAAAATCGGGCTCGAAAACGGACTTACGCTCGGTTGTATGATCCCTGCCTCCAACATCTCCTTGACCAGCCTCTCAATCTCATCCTTTTGTATCTGGGGATAGCGATATGGGTGGACACTAACGAGTGAGGCCCCTTCCTTAAGCACGATCGCGTGCTCGTGATCCCGCTGTAGGGGTAGCCCCTCCGGCATCCAGAAAACCCCCTTAAAACGCCTCAACAGCTGTTGAACCTGCTCTGAAATCATCCTTTTTGTCTCTCTCTGCTCCCCTTTGAGGTTATGCAACTCGATCAAAAATCCGCGCCCCGCGTCCTGAATCGTCCTCACCATAGTCTTGAGCGACACCAGAGTTTTGCATAGACTCAGGTCGCCCCGTAGAACCACTGCATGATCCCCCAACTGAAACTTCATTGTCAACAACTTCCAATTTACCCTCATCTATCCCAATGACTGTAACCACTTCATCCCCAAGATGACACCTGTACTTCCTAAATCCACGGGAAGGAACTCCTCCAACACCTGAACTCCCAGTATCCTCAAGATCAATCCTCTACATATTCCCCTACTCTTCTCCACCAATCCAGTACCCATAACCACCCTAAAACTGTCGGTGTCTGTCAAATGGAGGCCCAATCTGTCTACTACTCGATTGGAGATAAAATTGTGGGTCGCTCCACTATCCACCAACACCACCACATCCCATTCGCCGATACTCCCCCTTAACTTCATGGTGTGGTTCGGTGTAAATCCCACCACCGAATTAAGTGAAACTTCGGTCACATCAAGGTGAAGATGCTTCTCCTCCAACATCTCTTCTTCCTTGGCTTCTTCCCCGCCTTCCTCGTCATCACGCACAGTCAGGACTTGTAGTGTTCGGTCCTTACATCGGTGCCCCGAAGAAAATTTCTCATCGCATCGAAAGCACAACCCCTTCACCCTCTTGTCCTGAATCTCTGTCTCAGTGAGGCGTTTGAAAGTCACTCCTGGACGTGCCCCACTAACCTGATCCTTTTGGGGCTTTCTCTGAAATCCCAACGTCTGAGTTTTCTATCCTCCCGGTGGTGTGTTGTTTTGGTATGAAAAACCAACTGAATTGCTCCTATTGACTCGCTCCGCTGCATTCTTATCCTCAATCATCGGTGCCAACTCCATCGTCTCCCCTAACCTTCTCGATCTCAGCAAACGCAGCGCCGCTCGGATCTCCGGCTTCAATCCCTTCATAAAATTCCCCTCCAACACCGCTTCTGAGATTCCCCCTAAACGACCCGATAGTAGCTTAGATTTCTCCCTATACTCCATGACCGTCCTATCCTGGGTCTAAGGCAAAAAACTGTTCGTGTAGATCTCCCTCTTGAGTGGCTAGAAACCTCTCCAACAGCCGGTCCTTAAATTCACCCTATGACCTCAATGGTTGTCGTTGTTCTTACCATTGAAACCACACAAGGGCCTTTCCCTCCAAACATAAAGCCGCCGCCATCAGTTTTTCCCTCTCTAAGAGTCCATTGATGGCGAAATAGCGCTCTACCCTATACACCCATCCATATGCATCCTCACCTTCGAAAATGGGCATTTTCAACTTCCTTACCCTAGAATCCACCCCAAATTGGGTTTTCCCCGCCCAATTTCGCGCCATTGGAGGCCTCCAACCTCCCAATTCTCCTCCACTCTCCATAAATCCAGAAGACCCAGCCCAAAATCCTCCTTGCCCAGCCCCAAATTGAGCTGATAACCCTTGCCCAACCGCAATGCCGTCATACCTGCTTCCCCTCTCACCCAAAACCCCTCCTCCCGGCTGTACGCCCCCAAATCCGCCCTGCCCAGGCCCAAACCTGCCCTGCCCAGGCCCGGATCTGCCCTGCCCAGGTTCGGAATCACCACAAAACGGCGCTGAGACGCCGTGCCCAGCCACCCCCGACCCTGGCGCGCCCCAAGGCGGCGCCGACCACAGGTTCCGTACCGCCGGACTCCTCTCCCGTTGCGCCGCCATGGCTCGTCGCTGCTGTCGATGGTGGGTTGAGGTGGAGCTCCGTTAATTTCAGCAACATGGCCTCAAGGGACGAAAACTGTTGTTGGACGGTGTTAAATCGCTCGTCAATGGTGATCTTGAGCGATCCACCATCCGTTTCTAATTTCTCTTCAAGCGCGTCCACCTTCTTCGCTGCCATTGTCCTACGATTTTGCTCTGATACCAATTTGATAGGTTTCAGAGAAGAATCAATTGGGATTAGGGCTGAATTAAGGCTTATTATTATTAATCAAATCAACTGAAAGACAAATCCTGACCTATAATTCAAAAGGTAGGTCAGTCTCTCTAAAACTCCTAATTATTCCTAATAACTTGACAAAACTCAGCATAAACATAATTAACTTGCTAATGCCCTCTTTATACTAAAGCCCTAAATCCATAAAATACTAAAAGACTAATCTGCCCCCTAACCCTATGCCTAACATAAGTCTGTAGGGGCTTGGGCTTAATAACAAAACACACAAATCCATGGGCAGATCGACCAGAAGGGCCTCACTTCCTTATCCAGGCAGTTGCTCATATTACCACTTTGCTAAATAAATATACCTAACCTCACAGGTCACAACTACTTGCCAAGGACAAATAATAAAGATTCAGCACCATATTATGCTTAAAACATTATGCAGACAAGATTCTTATATATTTTCCTACCATAACTTTAGGTGAAACAAAAAAGGAACCAATCAGAAGTATTGCTCGACCTTCACAGTGAAAATATAAGAGTTATGGGAAAGAGCTTTAGACATTGGCACCATTAAATAAATAAAAAATATAAAACAAAAACCTACCTTATTTGCTGCCTTGTTGCCAAGACCAAACTTGTTAGCAGGCTTGCCATCAGGGATCTTGTAATCTCTAAACCAGTCCCTTATTGCAGTAAGAGTTCCCTGAAGAAAGCCAATGGATTAGACCCTACACTAAAAGAGCTATATCCTAGCTTAAATAACTTCATCTCCAAGAAAGAAGATTCAAGATTATATAATGAACAGAAAGCCATGAAAAGAGAAACTTGACCTTATGCGTAACATTCTTAATCCTAACAATATTTTTCCATTCGTTGCATGCAAAAAATGAAACTAAGTTTTTACAAAGACCCAACTCACTCAATATCTCCATGGCCTTCCTACACCTAAGAAGCTACAAAATTTTACCATGTAATCAACCCAAAACGCAACTATCAAATGTTTTGCTCACTTTAGAGGCAATCAAATGCTGGAATACAAACCATCTTCCTAATTTAATTGGTAAATGATATATGATTCTTTTCCCAACCCCTAACATCCTAAAAATATGTTCAAGCTCCTCTAAATTGTCATCTAATGAGCATTAAAAAGGAAACAACACACAAGATGAGTAAAAAAGAGACATACAGGGAAATGCTTCTCAACATCATCAACATCATTCACAAGAGAAGCTTTTCGATCATCCAATGAAATTGCAACTATTTTCCAGTCAAGTTCCCCCTCATCAATCATAGCTAGAGCACCCAAGGGCTTCACTTTGAGAATCTCACCAACCTTTCTCTGACTTTCACCAATCTCAACAACATCAACTGCAAGTTTATGAAAACAAAAGAAGACTATTGATCTGCACTGTTGTATTTACCCAGGAAAAGAATATGCAAAAGTAAAAGAATGCACTGCAGTGATACCTGGATCATTATCTCCAAATGCACCTTCAACTTCAGAGTTAGCAAACGATGGGTCTTCCCATGTTTGAGGAAGCAATCCATAATTCCAATTTATGTTGTAACTGAACATAGTTTAACATTTAAAAAAAGAGAGGAAAAAATAAACATATTAAGAAATATATTGAAAACAAACAACACTTAATTAAGACAACCCGAATGATGAAGAACAAAGCAAGGAGATAGCAAATACCAACTACTTAATGGCATAAAACAAATCAATTAGAAATGCAAGAACAGTTGGAGATGGCACAGCTAAATTAATTGTCATAACAAGTTATCCTTTCCTTTTTCCTTTTGGTTTCATTGTTTGCCTTTTTTATGTAATAGCGGCGAAAAATAGATAAAAGAAATCCTATCACAGGAATAACTTGCATTGGAGAGAGCAGACAATAGTTACATAAAAAAACAAATGCATTAAAATCAGAGATTAACCGATATAGCCAGTAGTGATAATACTTAGAGTAATCTGGGTAAGATTTAACTCGTGCAATAAAGGAAATACTCGACACTTCAAGCAGAAGATAACTGCATTAAAACTGGCATGTTTTCCATTACTGTTAAAAAGACATATTGCAAGCTGTATAAGCTTAGATATGTTCGTGTTAATGGATGATGACAACAAATCCAAGAAACTGTAGGACGAGACACTAAACAAAACACAACAAAAACAATAAATTTTTGTCTTACGGGTAGTATCGAAGCTTTCCTTTCTTTGTGTCCTGCTTTATTGGAGTGTGTTGCTCATCAGTAGCAACCTCCATCTTTGCACTCGATTCTTTGGGTATTTCAACAACAAAATTGAAAACACCATCTCCCAAGTGGAGAGGAATATCATGCCAAGGGGAAACCTGTATATAAAGTTTAACGCTATGTTTTAGCAGGCTGACACAAAAAGGAAAACTTTTTTCAATTTTTGTAGAAAATCCAATACCAAATCCTGATTAATCCAAAAGGATCACTTTTTTGTTCAAATAAAAACAGTGAGTTTTTTTTTTCCCTGGAGTTTTCTTATATTTATAATTTGATAGTTTCAACTTCTTACAAATTCAATTGACCACAAACAGTCCAAAGTCTCACAATAGCCCCAGATGGAATTTTAATTTGTTTTCTTTCCAATACTTTCTTCTAAATCATGTAAACATTCATTCCATGGCATAAACAACAACAACAACAACAGATTCTATGTAAGTAAAATCCATGAGAGTGACTTATTTTTACGCTGGCCATCAACCTACCGCAACCCTCCTCCTTTACCCGGGCTTGGGACCGGCTATACAAACACATAGGCGGAGTTTGCAAAGAATCTGAAATTTCATGGCATCAATATATGAAATTTCAATCATGTCCAGGAGAGCAAGCATTCTGAGTTCTCAGTCCTATTCCCCCAAATACATATTCAGTCTTTCCAGAGAAATTAGAACTAAATTACTCAAGTGTAATCACTCAATTTTCAAATTAAAACCATAAAAAATTAACAAAAAAATGTAAAGTTCTGAACTTCATCGTCCTTTTTCGTCTTCTCTACAAATTTAGATGCCTTATAATTGTTGTAAACAATGTCAATTAATATTTCCTTTTCTCTCGCGATATGCATGTTTGAACAAGCTCTAATTTTGCAGTTTGCAAAGAAGTAAAACGGCATTTACGCTGTCAATTCGCTAGAGACAATCAGTTAAAAACCCGGTATCTCCATCAAAATTTTCACATTCCTTTCTTTTCCTTTTTATTTTCTCAGCAACCAAACAAAGACCGCAAAATAAATAGATAAATAAAAAGTCAAACCTTTTTGCCGGAACCGTCGAGGAAGAAGACTCTGTAATCTAGGGTTTCGGCCTGACCTTCCTCCTTGACCTGAACCTGAGGGTTGTAGATGGCGCGACAAGCGAAGGACCTCCTGGTCGTCGACGGCAATCTCCTGGCGAAAGAGACGCCGTGCTTGGGGAACAAAGGAGTCGCCTTGGAGAGCAGGCACGAGGCTGTGGCGGCGCCGGTGGTGTTGGCGACTGCTAGCACTCTCGCGGTCGCCATGGATGCGTCTTCTTAAGGTGGCGAGTCAGTAGGAGTGAGAGAGAGTGGGGTGTCTGACTCGAGAGAGGAAAAGTTTTGGAAAAAGCGTAGAAAGTGAGAGAGACGTATGGGGTTTTGAGCCAGGAAACAAGTGGTGTATTTTGATTGGGTTGATAGTGTGTGCGAGTGTGGAGATTTGGGGCCCACACCTTTCTTTGCTGATATCCAATCCACTCATGATCTATCGAACTGTTTTTTCTTTTTTTTCTTTTTTTTTTGTCCCTCACCATTTTTACGGTAAATATCGCAAAGGCCTTTTTTTTTTTTTTTTTTTTTTTTTTTTTATTGATTCACTCTTTAATTTTAAGCTTGTATAATTAAAAATTTTTAGAAAATATTACATTTAATTTTTTTATTAATTTAATTTTTCTGTTTTAAATTTTTATAGTTAAAATTTTTTAGAAAATATCACATTTAATTTTTTTGTTATAATTAAAAATTCTTAAAAAATATCACATCTAATCTCAAATTAAAAATTCGAATTCGCAAAGTGAACGAGATCTAAATGATTAATGATTAACGTAATTTTTTTTTTAAGTCTTAACCGTTACTATTTTAGGAATCAGAAGTCATTTTTAAGCATGTGAGAAATAAAACACTATCATCTACTACTCTAAACACATGTTCATACATGATTAGATGTGTCTATCAAAAAAAGAACATGATAGATGTAATTCTTTATGAAAATATTATCAAGGTTTAAAATGAGAATAAAAATGATAGTTGTTTATTGATATGTCTTTTAATATTTTTTATATAATTATTCATAACATGAGTACATAACACTCATTTATTGTTATATATTTAAAAACGACTTTTGATTTTTAAAATAGTAACTGTTACGAATTAATATAAGAAAATTATGTTAAGCTTTTAGCCGGTTATGATTGGCACATAAGCCCGTTAAGATGGCATATAGGGGACTTGTTTCTCATTTTCAAACTGGAGAATTATAGACAACTCCTTTAAAGATTTATTGTTTTTATACTTTGAGACCGATTTTAGAGACACAAAATATTTATCTACCATTGCCGGTAAATAACAATAAAATAATAATTTTTCAAAAAAAATTCTACTTGGTCAAAAAGATTTAAATTCTAAAAATACTTTAAAGCATTTAAAAATTAAGACTTAATCTGGTGGGCATCTCTAAGTAGTGCTAGTTTATAATCATTAGATATGATTAAAATCAAATCAGATTAAAAAAGTATATAAAACAGAGAGTTTCTAATATAAATCTAACGATTGAAAAGTAGAAAACTACCGGTAGTTTATTTTTTCTAATATTGCCAGAAAAACTCCCATAAAAATTAAAAACTAAAATAAGTCAAAATGTTAAATTGCATGTCCTAAAAATTTATTTCAAGGTATTGAAGGAATGTTTTTTCAAAAGTGTAAGTACCGCTTTAATATTATTAAAAACACAAAGTACTTTTATTATAACAACATGTATCAAAATGATTTTATCTTTTTTTTTATTTGTAATCTTCTAAATTATATTATACTAGCCTTATCCCCACGCGTTGCAGCGGGTAATAATTTTATATTATGTAAAGAGTTAATAATTTTTATAGCAGAGTATTAATTTATATATACATATCTATACATGAACATGTCTTCATGATGTTGTTTTAAGAAGTTATTTACAATGCATTTGGGTTTCAGTCTTCTTTTTTCTTTTCCTCTCTTTTTTGTTATTGTAAAACATGAATTTGGAAAAAATTAGAAGATGGTCACAAGATCTAATATCAATAGCAGATATTAATAAGATCAGACAATAGTTATTAACCGTACCTACAACGCTATCAATACTATTAAAACACTGCCTTAAGGGAGTAACAGCCAAGCAAAGACAGGTGAAAAGCACATGACTTAAAAAACTGTGCAATAAATTGATATATGCATTTTTATATATTTGGGACAAACTGAATAATATTCATGTCTACATCTTTATATGTCGGTAATGAACTAAATAACATTAAAAATTTATATGATAACAAAAGTTTAAAATTTACGCTGCTATATAAAATTATGTACAAAATTAAATAATAAGATACAAATAATGAATAAATTAAATTTATCAACAAAAACTACATTAGTGAATGAATTAGCATATGCATCTGTGAATTTTGAGCTTCTTCCATCATAAATGAGCAAAGAAATTAAAAATCCTTTGTAATAAGACGTCGCTGCACAAAGTTTATAAATAAAATGAAGAGCATGAACATAACATGTATCAAAATGTGAATGAATTAACAAGCGAATAAATGCGAAACATAAAGTATGAAAAGCAGTTAACAACGTTGATAATATGTGAATAAATATGATCCTTGTACAATAATGGTGGCTTAGATATAGAATATCTTCATCAAGGTAAGATAAATAAGTCAATTTATATAGCAAGTGAAAGAACTGAGAACAATGAGTAAATAAAGAGATAGGTGGTCAATATAATCTAATGCAGTAGCAAATTAAGGAAAATAGGGAAGTGAAGAGCAAATAAAGTAGGTAAGAAGCTAAATGTAGTAACAAATTAAGGAAAATAGGGAAGTGAAGAGCAAATAAAGTAAGTAAGAAGCTAAGTACAAAAGAGTCTAAACTGCAGTATTACGAAAAGATTACTGTTTAGATCAGTGTAAAAGAGGAAAGGACTAACGTTAGTAAAACAATATAGCTTGCAACGTATATTTTGTAACAAAGCAAAGTTAAAAGGAATAAACAGAATAAAATTACAAAATGGGCTGTCAAGGGAACATCACCGGGGAAAAAAATAGAAGTGAACCAGGTGTGAATGATTTCTGAATGAGACAACAATACAAAAAAAGGTAGAGGTATTGAAATAAGCAAAGAGGAAAACAAATAGATTGTTAACAAATTTAAATCATAGAAGGAAATAGGGAAGGAAAAGACATTGAAATAAGTAAAAGAAGAGTACAAAGAGATTGTCAATAGACTTAAGTCAGAAAAGGTGGGTACAACAAGAATAAAGAGAGTGATGATATATTAATAGTAGGATTTGGACACAATTTTCATATACAAATAAAATTCATGTAGAAATGAATAAATAAATATAAATTTTCATGTCCTATAGTTTCTTTCTTCTCCATAGATGAACAAACAAATTAAAAGTCTTCAATAAAACTTGGTCATATATATTTTATAGGAGGAAAAGAAAGGAAATTAAAAATAGTGGAAAAATGTATATAAATAAATATGTAAATAAACCTATAAATTAAAGAAGAAAAAAATCAGAGGAAAAAGAACTAATAAAATATAAACATAGTAATATTTTTATATAGTGATTGTGGCTCAAATATTCAATGATAACGCAATATGTGACCGATATTTATAGTGTTTTTTGTGGCTGCTTATGTAACTGTTTTTAATAGAATTAAAAACGTTAATGGTAACTCACGAAAGCACCAAAATCAGCAAGATTTAATAGTGTTTTTGTGGCTGCCTATGTAACTGTTTTTAATAGAATTAATAATGTTAATGGTAACTGCACAAAAGCACCAAAATCAACAAGATATTGTATTTATCACATAATTTTATGATATTTATGTAGCACATATTAAATGAGTTGAGTAAAATATAAAATTGTCCAAAAACTACCAAGTGAATTAAATAAATAAAGAGAAAACAATCAAAAGGAAAAAAAAAGATTAACAAAGTCAGAAAAATTAAAAAGAAAAAAAAAACAAAGAACACATAAATAGGACAACAATGACAAAATATAAACAAAAACAGAATCTCCTTGGTATAAAATTGAAGAAAGTTGTTAGATGAAATCAATAAACCAAATGGAACAAAGGTGTGAAAAAAGCAATGCAACCAGGAAATAAAAAACTTAAGACAAAAGTATATGTAGAAATGTTAGGGCAAAATAACAAACTAAAAGTTCTTGCGCCGGAAAGGAAGAAGGAACGGGAAATGGAAGAAAGCAAATGACGCTAACTATACAATTCAAACCAAAGAAACAAATTACGGGGAGAAATATCAAAAATCTAAAATAAATCAAAACCATTGACAAACAAAGAGGAAGTTGTCCTTTTTTTATGTGGACCAAAATGACCAAAAAGCCGAAATCAATAACACGTGAAGCAAATAAAAATTGAGAACAATGTTGTATACTCAAAAGACAAAGTACTAAAAAAACCGAGAAGCTCTTTCTCAGGAAAAGAAAAGAGAGAGAAAGGAAAAGGGCAAAGGAGACAATTCATAATCAAAGGGAATGAAAACTAAAGAACAAAAAAAATACAATATAACTTAAAACCGTGAATAAACTGCAATAAGATGGGAATTTTTTTTAGCCGAAAAGAACTATAAAAAAGATAGGCAAAAACTTTTAGTCAAAAACAATTGGTAAATTAGAATCTAAGTAAGAAAGATTTATGAGTGAGTAAGTTTTTAATGAAATAGTAATAACAAAAACTGAATAATACCATAATAAGAAATAAAAACATAAGATAAATAAAAAAGAAATAAACAAAATCACGATCAAAGTGAGGAAAGCATAATCATGACATTTTTTAGATAATTTACATAAAACTCAACATGTAAAATTTAATAATAACTGTCATCGTCACATTAAAAAATCAGTTAAAACAAAAATATGTCATATAAAGACATATGTATATATATATATAGTACCGAAGAGTAAATGACCAAAAACTCAATATCATGAGAAGAAACAACAAAAAGATAAAGAGAATAATCAAGAAATTTTAGGTAAAAAGAATGCAGGAAATCAAAATCCAAATAGCAAAGATGCGTTCACGATAATAAAATACATACATACATGAGAAACCAATAAACAGGAAGTCAATATCTTAGCAATATTGATTAACAATGAAGTACGATCCTTCTTAAGGACTATAAATTACTAACATTTATTAACAACATAATAAAAACTTATATGAACAGAAATCATAAAAAATAAACAACACATGTTAATAATATTACAGCATATCAATACATTCAATATCAACAGTATATATTAAAACACTACAGATAAAAGTTATTGATGGTAACTACCTTGTAAATGCTGCCTTAAAAACAAAATGTGGGCCAACCAAACTTTAACC